CTCGGCCAGGCCAGGCAGGGCCGGCTGGCCCGGTTTGCCGACCGGTGCCATGAGGAGCATGCTGCTGCCCTGGCACAGTGACTCCCTCGGTTCCCTTGAGTAGGGCCCAGGCATCTTTTGCCCGGCCTTGGCTCCCGACCCACCCCCTCCCCCCGCAGGTAAGAGCAGCGTCAGCGTCAGCAAGCAACGGTCAGCGGCAGCCCCACCACCCCCACCTCCGCCTCACACACTCACTGGCCCCTTGCGCGATGGCACGCCGGCATGTTGGCATGGGAACGCCAAGCCCGGCACGGTAGCGGCGGCTGACTGAGTAATGGCACAGCCGACCGCCGCGGCAGGCCACTTTGCACTCCTGCCTGCAATGCATGCACCCTTACATGTGCAGCCTTCTGGTATTTTCATGTGCCTGGGAGATGTGCGGGCATGGGGGCCCATGTGCCCCATGCCATTTGAGTGCCCGGCGGCGGCGCTGCCTGCCGCCGGGAGCCCGCACCAGCATCGGCACCCGTCGGCCTGGCAGGCCTAAGCTGCTAAGGATCCCCACGTCCCCCACCACGTTGTGGGGGTTGCGTGTCCGGCAGGACGGGGAGCGGGGCCAGGGTGGGGTGACCCTGGGACGCTCAGCTGGGGGGAGGGTGGTCGGAGCCATGGAGAGGGTGCTCCATGGTCCACCCCCTCTCTTGATGCCCCTTGATCACGTGTGCCCCCTGCCCAAGGTCTGCTCACGCGGCCTATCATAGCGGGGTGACTGTAACACAGGGTGATGCCCTCATGAACGGTGAGCGCCCGCCACCAGTCATCTGCCCAGCCCATGACATGCAGTGCTGCCCTTGCACCTGTTTTCTTTTTTTTTAAAGCGGCCCCCGCTCCTGTTGCATGTTGTAAGGAACGCCTGGTGCCGCGCCTTTGCTTCCTGCAGAGGTCTTTGCGTTCCCCGGCAACCCGCTGGGCGTGATGGCACTGCTCCGATGGGGGACGTCGTTTCTGTTCGACCTCAAGATGATCAGAAAGGCCTTGGGCACTTCTCCGCTGATTAACGGTGAGCGGGCTTGCTTCTGCTGCCGTGCTGCCTGGCTGCACTTGACACCTCAAAGAGGCGCGCCTCGCTAG